GGCGGCGGCGGCGGCGGCACTCTGGCGACGCGCTGCGGCGCCGTGTCGCGTGCTACAAAGAGCCCCACGCATCTCATCATTCTCGGTCATGCAAGCAGGCACGCACATGCATACCTGCAGCTCTCCGTGCGTGTGTCTGCGGAGCAGGGGCGGGCACCCTCGTCGTCCCCCCCGCGCCTCAACTTCTTTCCCCCGGTGTAGACGAGCGGCTTGCGGTGACGCCCTGAGGGTCCGCTCGCTATTACAAGGGATGGCAGACACGGCCTCGCGGAGGCGGTTGAGCTGGGCGGCGCGGAGGCGTAGGCGGCATCAGCGCTACTATCTAACGATATCTCCGTTGGGTCGTCAATGGGCGCACTCAGATTTCCCGAGTTACATAAATAAGAAATTCGTCATCAACTACCGCCGACGCGCGCCGCACTCTCTTGGATCATGTTGTTGAACCGCCGGAGGGATGGGGTTGCAGCCCTCCGCAGCCTGCCACGTTCCTTCCAGCCAGCCAGCCAGCCCGCGGGGGCACGAAGAGAGAAGAGGCGTCTCAAGGGGTGCGGCACGAGGGGCGCAAGGCCCGCTCCTTCCATCGCGTTTTTCAGTGCCGTACAACAGCAATGCATCAGGGTTCAGACTCGTCTTCCAATAGTAGCAACATAGCAATTTCATCACGCCCGTGGACAACAGGGAAGTGCAAATTTGCTTCTCGCACGTCACCCGACCGCAGAGCAACTCGTTGGTGCCCGTGCAGCTTGAAATGAGTGCTTTGCACGGCGGTGAGGAGGGAACGGTCGGACTCAGATGTTCTTTCTCGATATTCTTTTTCATTCGCTGCTCACTCATGACAGGTGTCGGTGTGTCGCGATGCGAAGTGAATAGTCATCACGATTCTTGTCCAACCTTCGGTTTTTTTTTTTTTTTTTGGGGGGGGGGGGGGTCGAAAACAAAAAAGGGTTGCAGGCGCGGGGGAGAAGTCAGGAGTCAGGAGTCAGGAGGCGATGGGGTGCGTCTGTGCACACGGACACGGCGACTGTGCAGCGTTGTCGCCCCAATGCGCCGGGGCCGCCGCGCACTCGCTGGCCCGCGCGGCTTCCAGCCGTAAGCCCTCTTCTGCGTTCGCCGCTCATGGCTGTACGTGTGCTCTGCAAGGCCCGGGACGCCGTGTGACCACCGGGTGGGGAGTCTCGCGCCAGACGGCGCGGCCCGCACGACCGCTGCGATGGGATCCGCCCGGAGGGGATCAACCACGGCAGCCGGCGGCCCCGCACCGCAGAGCGGCGCAGGCGTTTACTGCGGCACAGGTCTCCCTGCGCGAGGCACTTGCTGCCTTTGGGGTGCACGGGCGAGGGACTTTGGCTCGGGACCCGCGTGCGTGCGGCGCCCCGTGGAGCGGCAGAAGCATCTTGTGGTGCGCGGCCGCGTGTGTTGCCCGCAATGGGTTTGCTTGCGCAACGGCGGCGGCGGCGGCGGCGGCACTCTGGCGACGCGCTGCGGCGCCGTGTCGCGTGCTACAAAGAGCCCCACGCATCTCATCATTCTCGGTCATGCAAGCGGGCACGCACATGCATACCTGCAGCTCTCCGTGCGTGTGTCTGCGGAGCAGGGGCGGGCACCCTCGTCGTCCCCCCCGCGCCTCAACTTCTTTCCCCCGGTGTAGACGAGCGGCTTGCGGTGACGCCCTGAGGGTCCGCTCGCTATTACAAGGGATGGCAGACACGGCCTCGCGGAGGCGGTTGAGCTGGGCGGCGCGGAGGCGTAGGCGGCATCAGCGCTACTATCTAACGATATCTCCGTTGGGTCGTCAATGGGCGCACTCAGATTTCCCGAGTTACATAAATAAGAAATTCGTCATCAACTACCGCCG